AGAGAGAGAGAGAGAGAGAGAGAGAGAGAGAGAGAGAGAGAGAGAGAGAGAATACAAACACATATGCTTCGAACTGGGAAAATAAACTCTGTTTTTGGAGCCCAAAAGTTCTAGAGAATACAAGATTATAAGCTACAACTCCATGACGACTTGTACTAGATCATGTTTATATGTTATAGAACAAAAGAAGGTGCACACTTTATACACACAGTAATAACTAGAATTCCATTGCTGAAACAGATCCATAATTTGTTATTCATTGATTTCTTATCAAGTCCCCCGCAAAAATGACAAAAAAACTTACTGGAATATTTTGCAAAAAGAAGTTGACCAATCAGTGCTACCAATTGTGAGTAACCTTTTGGTCATTTATATGTGTGTGTTTAACCCTATGCCCCCATGGGACGCCGATTGGCGATGGTAAGAAGCCGTCTCTTTTTCCCAATGGGACGCCGACTGGCAACGGTGTGATATATAGCATGTAGGGCACCTGTATCCAGGTCCGTGGGGATCACTGCGGGCTGCGTGGGTGAAAAGTGTTTAGAAACAAGGCTCTTACAGTAAACAGCAGGACAATCAAGCAGTGCGCTTGTGCATGTGATGATGCATCTACTGATAGAGCAAAAATTGCTTGTCAACCATTAAGAAAAAAAAAAGAAGACATCTATCAGAGCCAATAAAACTCATGTTAGTGTAAGTATTTTAGCACTTACAGTTCCAGGAAACCAAAGTGTGTAGACTGCTTACTTCAGTTAATAAAATTTAGTACATCATTTCAGTACTGGGATAGTGCCTGGCACAACAACAAAAAAACATAATATACTGATGTGCGTGTCTATTCATCAGAGACAAAATACAAGAATAAACCATTTTCCACTCCCCTCACCCAAGCCCTCTCTCATGTACACATACAAGTGTGTGTGTGTGTGTGAGTGTGTGTGTGAGTGTGCGTGTGCGCATGTTTGTGTGTGTGTGTGTGTGTGTGTGTGTGTGTGTGTGTGTGTGTGTGCGCGCGCGCGCGCATGTTTGTGTGTGTGATGCGACCAACTACTTAACCTTTCTCAAAACTCAAAAAAATTGAGTTTCAGTTTGAGTAAAGAGAAGCACATGGACACAATAATGGTCTTTTAGTGCCAGGAATTAGCAAGACAGACAAGACATACAGAAATAAAAGAGGGAGAGTTAAGAAGTAGGACCTTCTGGTGAGTTCTTTGGTCTGGGTATTGCAAAAGAACACTTGAGTCAAGAACTATGGTCAAACTAAAGATACGGGTGACAGGCACATCACTCTCATCACTGATATAATTGACGCTATCCTATGAATATCTGCCTCCTCCCAACAAGAACACCTTTAGTCTGTTAGAGCATTTGTGACAGACTTTAATTCAACAGTGTCAAAGCTATAAATAATTAAATGCCAATTCCAGCTAACAGCACAGCGGTCATAATGAAAATATACAATGAGGTGTGGAGACATGACAGGCTTAGAACATGGAATGACATTCACAAAATGACCCTGTGACAGAAACATCATTTATACCACACTCACCATTACTCCACCACCCATCTGATACAAAACGGTTACAAAAAGCAAAGGCCATCCGGATTATGGGAATTTTTGGCATGGAACAAGTTAAATAACCTTATGAACTCTGCAAGAAATGTCATTCATGGTGGGACTTATGAATTAAATATCCATTTAAAAAAAAAGACAGAGTGAAGTGGTTAGAGTACCCTGAAAACTCGTTAGATAATGTGAAGTTAAGAGAGTCCATTGTGGATTCAAACCATGGCCATCCTTGCCCACTAGACTTGGCCTGGCCAAGAGAAGGTTTGTTCTGTGACAAGTTCCATAATAAACCCTTGCAAGACATTATCAGTCTAGTCAAGAAGAAATTGATTGCTCCCAAATACCAAATAGAAACGTGAGTTAGATAAAAGGAGAACAAAAATGAAAAGAAAATATAGCAAAGTAAAATGAATATAATCTGTCCTCTAGCATCTCTAGCAATAAACATGAAACTGCTTAGCTAACAGCCAATTATTTGTCTGTCCTGCCCATAATATTGATTAAAAAGTTTACCAAGAGCATTGGTTAACTGAAACTACATTTATACTGGTACCTAGAACACCACACGCCAAACAAAAAGAACTGTTTCTATTATTTCCTCTTTAACAAATAATCTCTCAGGGCTACAGTACTGTACACATGACATATTAAAAGCACTGGTTTGTATTATAAGCAATATTTTTTTTTTCATAGCATAGGTTAACAGTTCGAAATAAGAACAAACACAGTTTACAGTGTCGACCTTCAGAACTATTGCCTCGATTCTCTTCATAAATAACATTCTCAAAACACAACGCCGTCTTACCATGTCTTCAGTATTATCTGCAAAAGCAGCAGACGTGTTTTAGAATTTACTTAAGAATGCAAAAAACAATCTCTTTGTCATACTTGCACCACTGCCCACTTTGCACGTAAAGTAAAGCATCTCTTGCTTTGTCGGCAATGCAGTGAATACAATTCGCTGTATTCCTGAAGCCTTGCCTGCCATAACCTACTTCAACTAAGCTGGCTGGAGAGGCAAAAGTGGGAGGGAATTTGACACTGGACCCACCAACCGTCCTAACCGCTGTCAGGGAAAATTTGAGGAAGAATAGGGCGGACAGCGGTTCCCACACTCTAGGGAGACTCAAGGAGAAGGGGATCCAAAGAGGAGAGGGGAAACACAGCCATCTGTGCGGACCAGTCCGACGGATCTCCAACCAGATCATGATGGAAACTATAAGTAGACAGACTCTGGGATGGATCCTGAAGAGGGGGGGAGAGCAGAGATGGACATGTTCCGACTGCAGTGACCCCAACACAGTGGACAAGTAAGGACAAGTAAGTAAGTAAGTAACCTACTTCAACACAATATCTTTTGCCATTTCTTAGGCCCTCCTGGCCTTCCAGATGAAGTTACTATCCACTACTTCAGATATCATGCCATCATTCAGGTTTTTCATTCTGACAATTTTTCAAGTCAATGTTTGATTTTGATTTAATGGCTTTTGATACTACATATGGTAAAAGATGTAGACCCTTAAAAAATGCACCGGTCCTTAAAACGCACTCGTTTCCATGTTTTTCATATATTTACGATTCCAACCAGCATCTTCTCACTCTCTGTATACAGCACTTCTGCTTCTATCTTTTAAAAAAAGACAGCTCCTTTGAAATGGAGTAACATGAATACAGTAAATATAAAAAACCCACAACAGGCAAGGTCTGTCGGCCCAAAGAGCCCCTCAGAGAAAACGATCTGACAACCAAGTATATGAACTAATCTGATGTCAAAAACAGTAAAAAAAACAACCAAAAAACCCCCCAAAGAATCTGACAACCAAGTAAAGAAGTGAATGAACAGTTATTAACCTCTTACAGTAGAAAAGTATCTGACAATTAAGTAAATGATAAATGAACAAAACTACTGTCAAAATAGCTTCACACAGTAAAAAAGAATCTACCAACAACGAGTGAACAAAACCGCAGTCATTATTCTCATTTCAAGACTCAAACTGATCATCACTAAAATGATTTCTTTTTATACAGACAAGAAAAAAAACCCAAAAAACCAATCACTTCTTTTTTTCATAAACAACCTTATCATAAAAAATTTGATCTAACTACATGAACTAAAAAAATCAAGCCTTTTTTCACTAAGACCAGATATATCTGATTGACAACAACTCAATGAAAACACAAGAATATCACCACAATATTAACAAATCCAAATCCATACACATATATCGAACACAAACTTGAATATGTGTGTATATATATATATATATATATATATATATATATATATATATACACATATATATATCTTAACTTTAGAAGAAAAATTAATAAAAGAGCACTCCTCCTTGTTTGTATATATTTGCAGGAAAATTAAGTTTTGTAGTGGGTTGTTTGGCAGATTCTCAGTTGTGGTTTTCCACTTCTTTCCTACCAAACATCTATCGTCCTTATCACTCCTCCTTTTATTTGTATGTTACCCTCTAGTGACACCTCAATCAAATCTTAAATCTCTGGCACTTATATAACCTGTTTGAGTTGCAAGTGCAATAAAACTCATACTAAAAAACTAAACCACTTTTGCACTGAGACAGTGACAAATTAGTTTGAACGTTTTACAGGTTTAGGTCTCCGTTTCTTGAATGATACATTTTTGCCCTGACCCCTTCAATGTGTTGTGACTCATGACTCAAGCAATCATGAGAGGTGAAAGAGGGTGAAAAGAGGACGCAGTGGAGTATTTCAACAAATTGAGTTCATGATCATTAGAGCATACTCTTCAAGTTCTGTTATTTCCATAGCTAAAAGGAATTTCTACAGATGACATGGTCAGGTCAGCAAAATTTTGCAGTGCCTCCAATTGCAGCTGAATAAAAGCAATTGGAGATATATTTCAAGGCATAGAGTCAGAGTTCTAGATGCCAGAGGTATGTATCAGTTTTTAAAGCTTACATTTTATATTTTGACTTGTTCAAGTTCATATGATTTTGAATAATAAATAAGAATTTATTAAGTAAGGGAATGCATATTTGCCTAGCCTTTATGATTTCAGTGACAAAGACAAAGACAAAAGTCATTAAAAAAAAAACATCAAAGAAAACAAACCTGAATCTTCTACATGTTTTTCATACAAGTAAACTTTCGACTATCTCCTCATTCTAGAGATAATACATAAAACAATGTATGAAACAAACATAGGAATGGAAAGAAACAGATCAATAGTTTCAACAACTTTATAACAACAAAAACAAGGACACATCTTAGAAATGTTACAATGACCCTTGGAGAAAAGCGTTCTCTTCTTCTCTTCCTTTTCTCTTCCCCTCTACTTGAGGAAAAAAAGACAAGGAGCATGGTTATCTATACAACCAAATATAGAACAACCCTAGAAGAATTAAAAAAAACCCAAAAAACTTTTATTGCCATTCTCCCATCAGAGGTCTTGCTTCAACAGATCTCAGGTTCCGAATCATTGTGCGATGCACAAATCTCCATAATCACAAATATGCAGATATTAAGCTGCTCACATCAATTTCTAATGTAATTATCATCCTCTCTATACCTCTTTGGTATCTTTGATTCAACAGTCTGATAAAGATCTTTTGTGTTGGCTTGAGAAATCTATGGCACTCAAGACGTTCACCTTTCATCTTTCTTTGATCAACAAGCATGAAGTGACTCAGTAAACTTTGCATTGAAACGAGTTCAAAGAGGAAAATCTTCAATAAGAACCAAAAACAGTTATGCTACCAGCTATAGTTTTAAAAAAATCTACACAAGGCTCTTTCTGTTTTAACAAACCGTCAGTGTACCTGGACACAGTTGCTAGAACTAGAAGTATTTCTTCGCAGCTATGGGCTGGTGGGCAGGAGTTTTTAAAAAAGTTCCCCAGCTAAGTTGAAAAAATGTTGTATTTAAATGACACCTTCACCACTTCATTCTATCCAGATACTCCTCTCTATTTACAACAACTCTCAGAGCCACCTTCACCAGATTTGCAAGCAAACTCAGCTGCAGAATCTGCATTAAAAAATACTTCTTCCTTCTTCTGAAATTTGCTTGGAGGACTTGGATATTCATCAATTAATCTGCTGAGATAAAAACTTAACGAGTAAAATGACCAGAACAGCAGGTAGCGATACAAACAGGCTACAGCATAGGAAAATGAACTGAAAAGAATAATAGAGAAACAGATTTTTAAAAACCCACAAGGGTTGTACTTACAATCTGTTAAGTTTGGCATCCTCATGACATAATTAGCCAAGAATCAATCTCTATTATTCATATATGAGTAGAAGAAGCACAAGTCTTCATAACAATAGATTAAAACGTAGGATTAATAAAAAAATCAATTCACGGTCACTACATTATCAACCCACAACGTTGAAAAGATAATGAATCAGCTTCAGATTTCAAAGCAGAGTTAGCTGTACCAAAACCAAGTAGAGCATGCACTAAATACTTATGAGGAAGTAGAGAAGACCAGTCTTACAGCCTCTTGCTCACAGTGAAAGGTTCTGCCTTTGGTGTACTGCGTTTGTGTTTGCGTGGCCAGGTGCCTGAATCATAGCCTGCAGGCAAAGCTGACACCACTGGCCGTCCAACCTCACGCACACCTCCAGGAGAGGGCTCTCCCCAAGTGCTGGATGACTGCAGGTTTGAAGCTGGCGAGGCTGATCCTTTAGCTGAGCTGGAACTGTCCTGAGAAGGAGAGTCGAGCTCCTCCTCATCGTTAAAGCTCATGTTTGCGAAAGCGGCAGTGCTGACATCACGGCTAGCCCTCTTAGGAGCCGACCTGATCTTTAACCTTTGGTACTTACTCTCGTCCTCGTAGTGTGCTTGGTCCCAGTCCGCCTCATCCTGATCCACCCCAGACCACGCAGGAGGCTTTGTTGGGGCCGAGCGGGCACTGGTCACTGGCAGGTCACCAGGACGCTGGGCAGACCTGACCACCGGCTGACCACTGGCTATATTGCTGTGATGAGGAGGGGCTGGGTGGACGCTGGGAATGCTCTGACTGTTCTGAAGGCCCTGATAGAACAGTGAGCTTGACTCATTCCGAGAATCAGCAACGTACTGCGAGTTCATCTGAAGACCTTGAGGGGTAACAGCCTTCTGAAGAGGAGGCGCCTGCCCTGCTTTTTGGTGCGGAGGTGACTGTAACAGGACATTTCCCTGTACCATCTGAGCTACTGGCTGATAGGACGTGGCAGGCAACTGTTTCTGATGGACAAGATCCTGTGCTACCCGTTGGTTGACAACACTTGAATTCTGTGCAACATTGTACCTTGCAAAAGGCATGGTAACTTGCGGGGAAGCAAGGGCTTTCCGCTGAAGAGCCACATTGTCGGTAGCTGCGCCCCTGGCCTGAGGGCAACCAGCAACATAATCAACCCCAGGGAGATTGTCACGAAGCGGGCTAGTTCGGAAGTACTCTGACTGATTTGAAAATGCCATCTGCTGATTGTCTGTCTCAGACTGCCTTGTGTTCGAATTGTGAGCCAGAGCCGCAATGCTTTGGGTAACTATTGCTTGTGGAATATTGCTGGGAGGGAAAGCCTTCATAGGACTGGGTCCTACAGTGCTTTTCTGAAGTGACTGATTTTTTCTTATGGAACGCTTCATGGCCTTATTCAATGGAACAGCACCAAAGGGATCCTCAGGAATATTTCTGAAACCTGAATCTCCACTGGCATCCATTTTATCTTCTCCATACATGGCAGGTCCACCTGCCATGGAGTGAGCATGGCTTCCTGCCACACCAGTAGCACTAGAAGAAACTTGCACGCTAGATGGATCAACAGTGCACGAGCCAAACTGAGAAACAATGGCAGTGCCTGGTAGGGCTTCATCCGGCGTGGCAATGTACATGATATCCTCCATAGAGGGTGATACCGTGCTGGAGGATGGGCCTGACGTAGGAGAAAGAGAAGTGCTGAATGGAGCACTCCCAAACACATCCTGTTGCTGCTGGCCGGGGGCTTGCGTGGTGCTTGATCCTGGAGCTGCCTGGCAACTGCTCGGACTGGTGACAGCTGAAGAGCTGTTGCTTCTTGACCACTTGGGCTTGAAAGGGGCCCCATCAAAGACATCGGTGGAGGGCTGCTGTATCACAGAGGATGTCCCTGAGGCTGGTGTTGACCTTTTCGACAATTTGACCTTGAAGGGCGCAGCAGAAAAAACATCCAAACCGTCGTCCAGCTCAGGAGAAATAAGTGAGGAGGAAGAAGTTGTCATGGCGGAGGGGTTGAGAATGTCTCCTTCAGCAGCCTCAGAAGCTGAAAACATGTGACCACTTCCTTGTTCTACGGGTGCTTTGTGCTGTACAGCTGACTGCAGAACATGACCTGAGGTCCCGTTGACTACTTGCTGACTGTCATTCAAACTCTCACTGACTGGCTTGGACCACACTTGAGCTTGCATGACAAACTCATCCTGAAGCTCATCGTCGTCAAGCAATGGTCGCACTCCATACTCATGACCTACAATTCTGTCGGAGGTGGGAAGAAACTGAGAGGAGGAGGAAGAGGAAACGGCCTCTGAGGCATTGTTAGTTTTAGCAGAGAAAGATCCAACAGCCTCCACTGGCCGGGATCCAAACTCATCATCCAACTCCTGATAGCCAAAATCATCCTTTTCAGCCGCCTTGGTGGAAGGGTGATCCTCTTCTGCATAAGAGGAGCTTGACTCTTTCCTATTCCTCAACGGCGGTTTATGAACTGGTTCAGGGGCGACCCCTAGGTGTGGAACTCTATCATGGATTAAATGCGGGTCCTTCATTGATACATGTCGGCTCCTTGTACTGTCAGGGTCTTCCGTATCGTCCGAGTCAATGAGCTGAGAGTACTTGGCCCTTGCTAGAGCTGCTCGCAGCTGACCAGCGCCCAGAAAATCTCTGCCACTCCGAGCCTCTGAGGGAACCTGATTCTCTGACGTACTTGACTGATCTGCTCTGGAGGCTTTCTGCTTGGACTTAGAAACAGCTTTTCTTGCTTGCTTTTTGTCTTTCACAGACTCATCATCAGAGGAATCTTCTTTATTTTTATCTGAAAATTGGAGCAAAACAATGAAGTCAGTATAATGGGGACAAAAATGTTACAGATAGCAGCAACCGCCGCAGTTGTAACAGAAACAATAGTAACTGTAGTTGTGGTAATAATTTTTAAAATATAATGAAAAAAAACCTATAAAAAATAATACAGTGAAAATATTTATAATAGCAGTAAATACAAAACAGAGTGTAGAGGCAAAATATATAAAAAGTATATAAACCTACCCTATAGTAAGTTATCATTTAGAAAAAAATGACAAAACTTACAAAAAAACTCTCAAGTACCGTTACAGCTATGTTCTTTTGTGGAACAAAAGCTTATTATCAAACAACAAGCTGTGCTCAATTTTTTTTATCTGCACCATCAAAGATTGCCATCTCCTCTAAACTGGAGTCTGCTTAAAGAGAAATCCCTTTGATAACAATAGCCTAAGCTTGTGACATCAGACTGGCTAAATGAGATTACTCAGAGGGATATTGACCTTATGAATACATGTAAATGCAAATTTTGATGCAAAGAGTTCGCACAAATTAAGATATTATTCTTTGGATCAAGATGGCAGGTCAATATCAACATTCAGATTGTTGACAAACGGTTGTGTAAAAAAGTGGTACCAACAACCTTGGGATGATACTCGACCATACTCAATGTAGAAATGCATTACTACGGCTACTGATTTATAACATCTGTAAGTTGTAGTCCATCAAAAAGAGATCAAGACAGGCAGGGAGAGAGAAGCCTAAAAAGCGGCATAATCAGAAAGTGAGAGCCAAAGAGAGAAGCAGGCAGATGGATAAACTGAGTGAGAGAGACAGAGAGAGAAAGAGATACAGATATAAACATGTGTAAACACACACACACACACATATATATATATAAAGAGAGAGAGGGAAAGAAAGAGAGAGGGAGAGAAAGAGAGAGGGAGAGAATGAGAGGGAGGGAGA